TTGTAGCCACTTGGAATTTATTGTAAAGCATAATCGAGAGATTTCCGAATTCAGGGTAGAGCGTTGTCGGGATCCCCCATGCAGGCCCCTTCTAAGCGTGTGCAATGTACGTGCAATCAGACCTTGACCTCCCCCCCCCAAAAAAAAGCTGACCGCTACCAGAACCTGCAAAGTAGGCTACTGTCAACCAGCCGCGCTGACGACCCTCACACTGATGTACTCCCGTGACGTCTCACACGGCAGTTCTTCAAGGTAACACCAAGGATTGTTGGCAGGGCCATGCAGGTGGCAATGAAGTGGTCAACATGAGAAATTAAATGAGGTGTGGAGGAAACGGCATGGGAACAGATTAAACTGCAATTCTACTACTACATGTAGTATCTTTTTCTGGATGAAGCATTTTTATTTGCCCGTGGTTGCGTCTTTTCATTAGTGTAACCTTCTCACTGCTGACTACTAGCATTCCTATAACCTGGTACACAAATTTGGAGCCAAATGGCTACCTTAGCAGGCTGTGAAAGGTTAAACAACTTGGTGAGTTGTCACCCTAGAGGAATGTGATGTAGATATCAGTTTCCTGTGGAAAGAAGGAACAACATGACCCCACGAGGCCAAGGTTTTCTTCAATGAGTCATGGGAGGGATTGGAGAGGCTTTGGTTAGGATTTTTAAGACAAATGTTTGCAAAAAGTTGTAAGGTATCTCACCTAAAACGGACAAGACTATGATGAACAGTCACGATTGACTTGAAAAGTTTTAAAAGGGAAGAAAATATGGACAGTTTGCATGCTTTTTTTTTCACATGACGTCATGCAGTTAATAGCTACATTGTATCAATAAGCCCCTAAAACTTCTGTTCAGGCTTTAAGCCCTTCAATCTTGTTGTTTGTTGAAATAAAAGTCCAACAAGCCACAGGGCTCAGTTCCCATGCACACAGCACTTGGCTGTTTATTTGAATTGACTTCAATGTGTGGTTTGGAAGAATTTTGTGACGTAAATTAAACAAACTGTGACTCACTAAGCAAGCAACAAGCTAAAAGATGAAGGCCTTTCCCTGCATATATTGAAGATTGTACACATGGTCTGTGAACCATCCTGATATTATAAAACTGAACGGGTACTTCTGCTAGGTAGCTAAGCCCGCGCTATGTTGCAGTTTGTAGTCATAGATATCGTCGGGCATTCATGAGTTAACAAAATCTACAGTCTCATCCTTTTCAGAACCTAAGATGTCAGATGACCAATATGAACTCCTGTCTCAGATGACCAATAGGAACTCCTGTCTCAGATGACCGATGGGAACTCCTGTCTCAGATGACCAATGGAAACCCCTGTCTCAGATGCCCAATGGAAACTCCTGTCTCAGATGTCCAATGGGAACTCCTGTCTCAGAGACTGAACCTCCTCCATCAGCTCAGCTGCTGCAGCCTGGAGCTGCATGGGGAAACAGTAAGTCTGTACTGTGTTTCATCATTGCTTAACGGGTGTCACACAGGTGTTTCACTAACAGGTATCATACGGATGTTTCATCAACAGGCATCACACAGGTGTTTCATCAACAGGTATCACACAGGTGTTTCATCAACAGGTAACACACGGGTGTTTCATCAACAGGTATCACATGGGTGTTTCATCAACAGGTATCACACAGGTGTTTCATCAACAGGTATCACATGGGTGTTTCATCAACAGGTATCACATGGTATCACATGGGTGTTTCATCAACAGGTATCACACGGGTGTTTCCATCAACAGGTATCACACAAGTGGTTAATCAGCCTTCTGACTCCATTACAGCATATTGGTTGAAGATCTATATAGTCTGTGCATGATACAATATCAAATGATCTGATAATTATAGTAATGATAATTTGAGCTTTTATGCAGATTTGATAACCTGGTTAACTTTATTTGGCTTACCTCAGGATTCCTGTCATTTACAAGTTGTTGCAGTAGTCCCACAGATATCTGTGTAATAGACACGAACAAGTTTGTTAGGTTCAAAATGTATCTTTGAAGATCAGCAATGTTTTCCAGAATAATTATATGACATATATACATTGTAATAAATTATTACACATGCATAATTTCAGCCTCCTTTGCTAAATGGAAAAATTTTGAAAATCTTAATTGAACTGCCCTCCTACAAGGGAGTTAAATTAACATTCAGTTCCAACTGCATTACGTTGCATTTACACGTAACACTGCAGTTGCTTACAAATTACAAACACTGAAATGGCCTGATTCACAGTTATGGAAAAAGGGCATGCAGGCCTCTCTCAGTCCCAGAACCTAGCCTGGTGTCCAGCCTTGTTTGCTTTATTCCGCTCCCCAAGATCAGTAACCCCAACATTTGTTGGCGGGGTAGAGGATCTTTGGGAGCAGACTAAAGCGTGTTGAAGGCTGGACTCCAGTCTACCCAGAACCCTTCCCCGTACCTGACATGTTCGGTACTTACCGTTTGCGTGGCCTCCTGCAGCAGGGCAGGTGTGGTGGGCTCCTCGATCAGAGACTGCAGCAGTCGCACACAGTGGAGCCTGTTCTCACTCACTACCTCCTCTACATGGGACCAACCAGGGGTCAAGAATCTGATGTCATTTTGGACGCAATCTTGGACATTACAGTAGTGGTGCCAATGAATTGATTTGGGTTTACGGAAAACCCTGGGCTGTCTACCTTACCAGGCTACCTTACCAGTCTACCTTGCCTGTCTAGGACGTCAGGCTACTGAACTCCCCCCATCCACAGCCTCACGAATGGCAAGACTTCCAAGCAGCTGCGCCCCCTGGCGGAATGCATCAGAATTGCACCCACTACTTTGGCACATGCGTGTGCACAAACCTTAGGCCTTACTCTCCAAGCAGAGGTTGTGGGGAATGATCGTTACCTTTTTATATATGGCCGTTTTTTTTGTGTCCTGATCCCCACCCGTCGGTGGCTAATGGAGCTTCTCTGGCTAATGGATACTGCCTGGCCAATTTGATACTGTCTTTTTGCCACCGAGAGGGATCTGCTTGGAGATTATTAGGCCTGACTAATCGCGCTCCTGGCGGCCGGTCGCCCCGAAGTGGGTGGGGGGCATTAACCTCCGGCCGAGTTAACACAGCAAGAAATCTACTGAGGCGAATAGAAATATAAAACCGAACAAGATATTATATTTTATTTTAATTTTTCTTCTGAAGTTTTAATGAGCCAAGGGTAATCAACAGTAACAGGGAAACGGATCTCGTGGTTACCAGTTCTTTGAGAGCGCGCGGGTCGGAGTGTGTATTGTATCAGAACAGGGTGAACTTTTGACCTTTTGTGCGGGGGCAGCATTGTCCGTGACGCACATCTGTAGATAATCTTGGGACTGTACGATATTTACCGGGGGGAGGGCTGGTGCACTGGGGGGGGGGGCATTGACATTTTTTTTTTTGGCCTGGGAGGAGGGCCATGGAAAAAATATTTTAACCGAGGGGAGGGCCATCGAAAAAAAAATTGGCCTGGAACGGGGAGGGCCACCGAAAAAGTTTTGTAAAATGTATGGCGTTGCGTAGTACAGAATTACAAGAAATACACCTTAAATTCCAGAATATAGTACGCACTTTTTAAATTTTAAAAAATCCCAAAAGTGTCTCGGGCCGTTGCCAAAGTCCGGATGCGTACTTTGTTTGAGATTTCCCCCGACAAATCCATGGACGACCCAGGAATATAGCGGAACATCGGCACGGAGAGCGACTTCGATCGTCCATAGCATGTTTAGATAAGAATATTGACGAGTGGAAATAAAGTTAGACTTCAATAAATGAACATATTTCCTCTGACTATTGCCAATATTGACACAAAGGGCCACTATAAGTTGCGGTAAAAGAAGAAGTCAAGTCACCCACGGTAAGAAAATGTAGGTCACTGGCAATGACGCCAGGCGCTTTGTCATGCCGACAGGATCGTTCCCCAGTCAGCCGGCGCCGATCTCAGTGGAGTGGAACCCCGGCCCGTAAGTACATATACAATTGTAAGAGGGTTATGAGTGGTAATATTTGAAATGGTCCGCAAGCCGCGTGAACGTTCTTGTTCGTCGTAACGCAACGTAACGTGATAACATAACAGTCGTGCCTCGACTGATGGACTTCCGGCTTGAGCAGTGAACTTCAACAAATATTATGCCCATGCCGTTTCAAAGGTTCAGTTGACAGAAATTATTATCCATGTTTCACTTCGTATCACAAATATTTTTAAATCTTGATAAATGCAACAGGAGATTTGTAGCGGGCTATACCAGCCAGTACGAGGTGAAAATTCCAGCTAGATGTACTCCTACGGGACCCGACTGTTCGGCAAGCTACAATGATAGGGGCGGAGTTAACTTAAAATGTAGTCTTTGATGAAATCTTACCGCCCGGCCGGTGGGTGGGGTGTTTGACGAGCCGACACCTACAGCTGAAGACGACAGAGCCGTGGCAGCACTGAGGACAGCCCCGAGAAGGAAGTCTTTCTTTCCTCTGTACAGACTGTACTTATACGTTTTACGGAGTACAAATTAATATTCCCTTGGAGTGTTTATTCCTTTGATTTTGTGACAAAAACATCTATCGCATAACGAGATTACTAGTACTTGAAACGCAGTCAAACTTTTCACTTTCTCCTGTTCGGAATCGCCAGTAGTCTTTAGTTGTTGTGTAATTGGTTTCGGTGTGAATTTTAAATTCGGTAGCACCTCTACACCCAAATACTCGGCCCAGTTCTCCGCCCGTTTGATTGTTTCTCTCCATGGGTCGATCGGGCGGGCGCTATTAAAGAAGTGTTCGGCGCATTTCGTATTCTAAAAACAACAAAGCTACGTACTTTGAACTACCTACACCTACATTGAACTACCCCCCGTTACAGATAGAATCAATATTTAAATATTGTCTTTTTTTCACAAATCTTTATTGACTATTGCTTGCTTGATCACCAACACTCTCCGGGATCCAAAGCTGTACGTTCCGCCGGACTTGCCTTACTTCGCGGTGGCGACGTCTTGCAAGTCGGCTGCGGCCAGCGGTGAAAACAAGGCCGAAGCGTTTCCCGCTACGTTACCATACAATCACGTAGTACACGGCATAAATCTAGTTTTTAAGAATTTTTTTTTTGGAACTACATGTCCACAGTGGTACCGGCCGTGCGTACGTTTCAGACATGAATATTTGTCTCCCACCAGCCCCAAATCGGGAGGTGCGTACTTCGATCAGGATGCGTACTGTATTCGGGAATTTTCGGAAGGAGAAAAACAAAGAGACAATCACATGGAAAATTACCGAAAAATTGTTTGGGTTGGGGGGAGGGCCATTGAAAAAAAATTGAGCAGGGGGGAGCTCGGGGGCCATGGAAAAATTGTTTTTTCCCTTTTTGCACCAGCCCTCCTCCCCCGGTAAATATCGTACAGTCCCAAGATTATCTACAGATGTGCGTCACGGACAATGCTGCCCCCGCACAAAAGGTCAAAAGTTCACCCTGTTCTGATACAATATACACTCCGACCCGCGCGCGCTCTCAACGTAACCACGAGATCCGTTTCCCTGTTACTGTTGATTACCCTTGGCTCATTAAAACTTCAGAAGAAAAATTAAAATAAAATATAATATCTTGTTCAGTTTTATATTTCTAATCGCCTCAGTAGATTTCTTGTTTATAATAACTCGGCCGGAGGTTAATGCCCCCAACCCACTTCGGGGCGACCGGCCGCCAGGAACGCGATTAGTCAGGCCTATTAAAGGTTTGTGCACAGTACTGCACACGCATGTGCCAAAGTAGTGGGTGCAATTCTGATGCATTCCGCCAGGGGGCGCAGCTGCTTGGAAGTCTTGCCATTCGTGAGGCTGTGGATGGGGGGAGTTCAGTAGCCTGACGTCCTAGACAGGCAAGGTAGACTGGTAAGGTAGCCTGGTAAGGTAGACAGCCCAGGGTTTTCCGTAAACCCAATTGATTTCAATTCACTGTGGTTTAAAACTGTTACGACGCGATATGTTTTGCAAATACGACAAATTTAACACTAGAATTTTGCAAAGCAAATACATGATGTTAACCTTCACACGGTCTAGCCTGACAAAATACTGTAGCTCTTTCTATTCTTACGGAATTATGACTGTCTTGCTCATCTTCAAAGACAGTCAAACATATACACGTTAATGGTGACCAGCCCCCTCAACTCTGTCCTGCTACTTGCTACATAATGTAATCCAACACCACATACAGGGTGTCTGCTACAGCACCAGTTACCATGGTGACAGCCATCTGGTCCAGGTCATTGACCTTACGTGTTTGGAGAAGAAGCAGAAACAGAGCTCTACCTTGTACCAGCCAAGCCAGCAGCCCGATGATCCCCTGCCTGGTACTGAGGTACTGCAGGCCCTTCTGGTTAATACTGAGGTTGTACAGAGCCATGAGGACCAGGCTGGGCAAGGATACAAAGAAAACACTTTGAACTATAGCCTAACATAGTGAGTTAAAGATTTCTTTCAGCAGTGTGTGCATTTGTGGTGTAACTTAGGATATGTAACCTAAGTACTAAATGTAAAGTTCCCTAACCTGCATTGATTTTGGAAAAGGCACATGTGGTGCACAGAAAGTGCAAAATGAAGCAAAATAAAATGAAGTTGAACAAAAATTTTCTAAAAAAGTAAATTATAATGTTATTTACAAACAACTTCAATTTCTGTGTATTTTAGTTCCGAGTTTGCTTAGTTCACTTTGCTTGTATTTTGTGCCAAATTAAGCAAATTGTTTTCATCCCATTTTACTCCATTTTGCTCCTTACATTTTTGTCAAGTCTGTATTCCCCATTTAGATACAGCTAGATACATGTATATACCACTCCTCACACAAGTCTATGTAATGATAAGAATCCTACTTCCTGAGCTGGTCACACGTCCCGATGGGAGCCTCGGACAGGCAGCTGACCAGTACGTCCACCACCGAGCGTCCAGCTGGGCTGGACATCAGGAAGTCACGGCCGTACGCAGACGCAGCAATGTCTGCACACGACAAAATCATCATTAACCTTCTCCTGCTGTCTAAAACCCCATAACAATATATATTTGGTCCCAAACAGCACCTTAGCATGGTGAAGGTTAAAAAAAGTGTTTTCTGACAGGTTGTCGTAAATTTTTTATATCAAGGAACACCTTAAAAGCAAAATACTACCATGTTTATCTATTTGATAGTTTACCGTATGCATTTGCAAGTATGCTTCAAGTACACCTCATTTAAATTCCGCGGTTGCCTTAGGCTAATGACTTTTTCCTTGTTACTCCGTGAAGGAGGTCAGGACCTCCGGACGGAGTGTTGTAATCGGCTGATTTTTCATGTTCGCAGTCAAAACACTGGGTTCTCTTCGTGTAATCGGCACGCAATTTTATACGCCGTCTGCGGGCATGCCCGTGTTGATGCACGAATGTGTATTTTTGCCGTTGCTGCTTTCGCGGTCAATGTAATATCGCAGACGCACCCCTACAATTACGAGGCGAATTGGAACGGTCCAGAAAAACGCGTTGTTTGGAATAGCGGGGGGGGAGGTAAAAGTTCATGCAGATACGGGGTGGTTTTTATAAGTGGTTCCAGATGTTTTTGCCCATGGTTAAGAGATGCCAAGTTTTTTGGAAGATGTTCGCAGCCTAAACGCATTCTGCCGTACGTCGCATATCTGTGTAATTTCGCATGTGGTGTTGCATTATGTCCGGGATGATGCACGTCTTTTTATTTTTACCGTAGCTGTTTTGATATTGGAGTAAATGGTTATTTTCGAAACATCCCTACTTTTACAATCCTGTGGAATAGACCGTAGGTTTAGGCAGTTGTCTGGTAGCAGAGGTACTGTAAGCAGATATCCTGGTTATCTGGCCGGCGGTAGTAACACTCGCGGTGCTTACCGCCACTGTTGCTGGAATTTGGCTTGTTCCAGGCGCGCTTAATTAGGTACAGGCACCGTAAGACGGTGGGGCTGTCTTTGTTACTAGACACGACCATGATAGTCCGATCTTTATGTGAATGCAATGATTGTGTGTGTGTAATTAAAATGAAGTTAGAACTTGAAGCACAGTATCTTTACACGCCCTGGGAGCAGTAATGGATTTAGCTCTTTGTATGTTTTATGCTTGTGACGCGCCCTCATTGTATTAACCGTTGCCTAATTATAATGTCTGCACAGTAGGTCTGGCGTTGACGCTTGGGATTTTGTTGAAATATATAAAACTTCACGGAGAATTGTCACCTATGGCTTCTTGTTTTATATTCAATTCGAATACTTTCAGTTTCATTTTTGTCAACAAATAAACCCAATAGCTTCAAGCAAAGTGTATGATAGGCTTTGGCCTACGAATACTACTGACTTCAAATTTTTATGAACATTTATGTCTTTTTTATACTTTTTTATCAGTTGTTTTTCACCAGTTTTATTTTTAGCCAGCCAAAAGTGGTGGCATAGCTGTCCTGACAATTTGATACTGGTTGCCAATTTGATACTATCTTGCCAACTTGATACTATCATGCCATTTTGATAGTCTTGTCACCACCAAAAGATCTGCTTGGAGATTATCCAACAGCAACAAAACCAGTTAATTGGGTTAGTCCCTGGGCTAGGAGTGTTGTCTGGTACTGACAGTTGGAGAAAATCACCATAATGAGCCTTTCTGTATGTTAATCCCTCCATTGTCAGCTAACAATTGAAAACCCTGCAGGGTAAATTTGTCTGATGCACGATTACTGACTGGTAATTGTGGGACTTAAAAACTCATTTTTACCACTAATATTCCCTTAGTAATTGGTGTGGTACATGTAATGCAGATCAGGTCCAGCAGGGCAATAGTTTTTAATTAATATCTATTAAGTTAATGGACTTGTAATACAGTACATGTATATCATTACTACTGAATTTATCTGCACTCTCACAATTCATTTTGCACACCAAGGGCTACCTAGGTTCAAAAATACTAGTACATGTACAAATGTAGTAGGTTGCCCCAAGTAAAATTTGGTTGCCCGGGGCAACTGGGCAACCAGGTATTTTGCACACTCGCTTGGTAGTAGTATCTGTGTTCAAAAATATAATTGATTGATATTATATTGAAATGTTCTTGAGTCTAACATTTTAAAAGTAAAAAGTTTGTTGCAGCTAATTTTAATTGAGTTCATGTACTTTGGTCTGTACCTCAAATTTTGCCCAAACCATCATCTTTGATGGACAAAAATCATGGCACAAAATAGCATTTCAGAGGGTCAAGATTTCAAAATTTTCCCTGCAGAGCATTCTCCCTGGACCACCTTAATCTCCAAGCAGATCCCTCCCGGTGGCAAAAAGACAGTATCAAATTGGCCAGGCAGTATCCATTAGCCAGAGAAGCTCCGCGGCCACCGACGTTGGTGGATCAGGACAACAACAAAAAACAGCCATATATAAAAAGGTAACGATCATTCCCCACAACCTCTGCTTGGAGAGTAGGACCACCTTGGGATTGTTGCCCGTTATGTGAAATAAAATTGAGATCACAGAAAAAAATTTCAGGCTAGCTAGAACACTTATAGTAGTAGTAAGTCAGCATGGTAAAATATATGGTTGTGAAAATCATTGAAGAGGTTCATCAGTCATGTATAGATCAACAGTTAATAGAATATTATTCAATCAGTGACTTTTTTGAAAGATAGCAAAACATTATACTATAATAGTTTTCCTAGTCCCACAACCATCAGTTAGTAGAACATTTTTCCATGCAGTGACTTTTTTGAAAGTTAGCAAAACATGTGCCTCAAAATTTTATCTGTAATCAAGATGTACAGTGGACGTCAAAAATTCGGAGGTACATGTTTTGCTAACTTAAAAAAAAGTGATGGAAAAATATTCTACTAACTCATGGTTATGGGACTAAAAAAACTATAATCTTAAATTTCTTAAGACTGCTTATATCTTACTGGTGACAGTTCCAGCCAGTGCCAGTACAAACAGGACCTCCTGTGAGTCCTCCTCAGGTGGCTCTCTCTCCCTACAGTCTGTCACATAACTCTGTACTGTCTGTCCTACCAGCTGCAGGAACTCTGACACCATGGACTGGGGCAAACAGAACCAGTTCAATCATTACCTCCATGAAATGTGTCATGGAGGTTATATTTTCAGTTGCGTTTATCTGTCCGTCTGTCCGTCTGTTGGTCAACAAGATAACTCAAGAACGCCTGGATGGATTGGTTTCATACTTGGTGTGTTGGTAGGGTGTGACGAAAACTGGAAATGATTAGATTTTGGGCCCCCTAGTGGCTTCCCTTGGTACTGCAGCGCAACTTCCGGTTTTGATATCTCGCGATCTGGACATGCTAGGGTCATGAAATTTGGATGGAAGGTAGCTCTTGTCCTCGGGAAGAAGTCACGTGAGTTTGGTCCCCCTAGCGGCTTGTTCTGGAACTGCAGGGTGGTTTCTCTGAAAATCTTCGAGAGAGGATAACTGAACAACCGTTTGATGGATCATCATGATTTTTGGTATGTAGGTAGCTTAAGTGATGCTTGACATAATCAAAATATAATTATGCAAATCAGGATCTAATTTGCATAATTAATGAGGAAATTCTATAAATCAGCTGTATTTCATATTAGGGCTATAAAACTCTATAGACATATGTTAGTGAGAACGACAAGATCATTGGCAGATATCGATTATGTAAAGGAAGACCTAATTTGCATAATAAATGGCAAATTGGTACAATTTTATGGTGGTAACTGCTGGGAATTTAATACTTGCCATAATTGGAAGTTCAGTGAAGGTGAACATCACTAAACATAATTTATGTCAATCAGGACCTCATTTGCATAATTTATGAGGAAACGCTAGAATAGCCTTATTTCTTAACCCTTGTCCTGCTGGCAATTTTTACACAATATTTTCAAATAATTTCATGTCTTAATCAGGTCACAGACCCTTGACTTTTTTTGGCCCGCGGTGGCGTAGTTACTTCCGCATTCGTTGCGTTTCGCTGCGGTGTGATGCGTTGCACGAGAAACACCCCCAAATTGTACATATACAGGGCACTATATAGATGGTACTGTATGTGCAACCCATATATATATGGGCTCCGCAGGACAAGGGTTAAGATAACCCTGTCATTTGGTGGAGAGTATGATCAATTGATACAATATATGCAAATGGCCTCATATGATTTGAATATATGCGGTGAAAAATGTAAGCCAATTACAGGTGGTCATCACCATGCGTAAGATTTATGAAAACAATACACATGTCATGGAGGTATGAGATCATCGAACTCTAGTTATTCTGTAAAAATATCTACAAAGTGCATAATTTTATGCCATTTACTATGATGATAAAGGAGATAAATGAAGGAAACTTGTAGAAAAACATTGCAAAACTATTAGACTGGTTCTGTTTAACTTATAATGGAAGACAGGGAGGAGTGGAAGAAGAGGGTCATTCTCATCCGTGCAACTCTAGCATGATACATAAGTATATATATCTGGTATCAGCAATGATTGTTTTTCTTTCGTCCCATCATCCAGCCATCCCTCCAACATTACAAGGTATTGTACTTATGTACGGACCTGTACATTATTACCGTTGTACCTATTTTAGGCACACAGCTCTAGACCTGCATCTAAAATTTGTTAGGTACACATCAGATTCTCTAGACTTAGTTACAGTATAGATCATGCTGCTCACCCCTTTCAGCATGGCGTCTACAGACTCAGGACTCCTGGAGACTCTCCACAGCAGGGTACAGCTGGCTGCACCCACACTGGCACTGTAACCGGTCTGTACTGACAGGGTCTTCTTCAGCTCACCTAACTCCAGCTTCAAACTGGACAGCTCCTAACCACAGGAACACGAATCACTGGCTTTTAAACTTTTACTCAATCTTACTATAATAGGCAACACCAATATACATTTACTGTAAATCACTCAATCAATGTTCGCAGTAGCAAAATTTCACTGCTGCGGCAGGTGCAGCAAAAAGAACTTGAAGTCGGCAAATTATCTTTTCATGGTAATGATAAGTTTGGGGTACAGAAGTGACTACGAAAACTGTGAACATAAAAGTACTGTGAAAAAAATCGTGATTTACAATAACTTGCTGATTCTCAGATTTTAAAAAATGTCACCAAGCTAAAAAAAAGTACAATTCTTTGACATGCATGTACTTAAATCAACTTCATTCTAGTATGTGTACTACCATTGCACAGTAGATGCAATGGTTTGTTGAACATTATTAAAAAGTACATGTATAGAGTAAAACATTATGTCTCAGAAGCAATGAAGCAGTCAATGAAGCAACGTTAATCAATATAAGTAATTATCTATCATTAATTAAAACATGCTTGAAGAAGACTTTTTCATGACAGCTCACACCTGTTTTTCTCTCTCCCTCTCTGATTGGCTGGCCTGGAAGCGTGACTTCCAGTGGTCTGCGTCTCGCTGCAGCTGGTCCGTGTGTCCCCGCTCATCAGACAACTCTGGGGTAAGAAATAAAGAATTATCACCACATACACAGTCTTAACCAAAAGCAGGCCAAAGTTGAACAAGTGTCATTGTCAAATTCATGCAGACAAATTTATTGTTGATAGTGGAGCTTTTCCCTTGAAAAAGTAGGTTAAACATTGATATAAGCTGAACACCAAATAAAACTAGGAAGGATTTTCAACATTTTTTTTCAACATAAAATATTCTGGTCATCTTCTTAATGTTGCATTAACGCTATCCAATAGTAGTATACAGATACCTGTGAGGCAAAAATGCAATGCAGCTGACAGAAAACGGTTGCTTGTTTTAGTCTAGTTCTATCCATTTATTGTTGGTAGCAAAAAAAAATTAAGGGACCCCTACATTGTAACTCAGCTTCTTTGGGGGCTATTTCAAACACTTCGATTTTGAAATGATGACGAACATGTGCTAAGAAATGGAGTAAATGTTAACAACAGTAAAATTCCTCGTCCAGAATATATTTTTGTTTAATTTGTTTTCTGCCCTGAAATTGGAAGGTGCTTTTAGTCAACTTCAGATGTAACGTTAGATATCTGGAACCAGGCCTCGAAATGAACTTTTCTTCCTGTTGTCCCAGCACTGTACCAACAAAAAATTTCAATTGTCCCGTTGTCCCAGCACTGTACCAACAAAAAATTTCAATTGTCCTGAAGTATTAAAGGATGAACTGCCCCAAGCTGTTTTTCGGGAAGTACTTCAAGCCAACTTTATTTTGGTTATGTTCACTCCCAGGTGCACTATTATAATTGTAGAGTAGACAAGAAATTCGGGGGGGACTTTTCCAGACCCAAAAGCTGGGACGTGTGCCTGATAAACAAAAGAACGGCTGATATTCTGTTTTTATTTTTCTATCGTCCCCAAAATGTCCCAAAGTATCTTTTTTGTTGTCCCAGCCTAAATTTTGGTGGCCAGTGGACCACCTTTGATTTTTAGCCCTGGGAACTATAACGTTATAATCAAACCTTGTTGTAGTTTGTCGATCCTGCTGTAAGACTGCAGCAGTTCAGAGTTCAGGACCTTGGGCAAAAACTCCTTCATCCGTCTGACCTCCGCCGACAGTTTCTGTAGATCTGCCCGTTTTATGGTCACAAGATCGGTGTGTTCCCCCTGAGAAAACGACGGTTTTGTTACCTGAAAGGCAGTTTTGATTCATAGAAGTGCGCTAGTATTTGAGTATTTACCAGGGCAAGTTTTTGACTGGGGACACACAACATCAACATTACCACCGACAACGCACAGTAGTTTGAACGACAAATTCTTAAATGGCACAGTCATAACGTTATTTCTTTGGTTGGAAATGGAACCATATGGACACATATCATCAGTGGTTATCGCTACCTGCAGAAAAACGTTGCAAACAGATCTAGAGTTTGGTGTAACGCTACTGACAGTATTTCTCACCTTTTCGGAATTCCCGCCACTGGACGCCATTTTTTTCTGGGGCTAGCTGGATATAAACAACAACGCACCTGGCGGCTAAAGGACTAAGTGCAGATATCAACCAAAGGACCGGACGTCTTGTAAAATGTCCTTGCACTGAGACACACAAAAGGGCAGAGGGAGAAGAGAGAAAGGCCAACTTTTCAAGCAATTTTCCATTGTGAAATAGGTACAAGATGTAACTTTAACTATAAAACTGCTACATTATGTAACCCAACACCAGTTACCATGGTGAGAGACGGTCTGGTTCGGAACCAGACCGTCTCTCATCATGGTAACTGGTGTTGGGTTACATGATGTTGCAGTTCAGGTCATTGACCAGGTCACTGTTTGGAGAAGAAGAAGAAACTGAGCAAAAACAATATGCTTTCGTTAAACATAATGTTACACCTAATTACCATCCTGGCTGCCAATAATACATAAAAATGGTCATAGAATTATGTATTAGACAGAATCCTTCCATTGGGACGTTGAAGAATGAAGTTTGGATATACTTTGGTTCTTTCTGTCTGTCCTTATGAAAGCGGAGTTATTAGTACAAGCTACAAATAACTCTCGTGGATTCTCGCGAATTACCTTGAAAGAAGCGCGAGATTTTACGAGAGCTCAGAGAATGATGCGCAGAGCAGATGCGCATAGATGTCTGCTATTCGACCGTGACCGGCAAACAGCGTGGTCTGGGAAAGTGTTTCAAATTCATCCTTTCGAAGATCGCATCTTTCACGGGTTTAGATCCCCGGCTGGGTTCTTTGTTGTGCAGGGCTAGGCTGCACATTTGTTCAGGTAAATATTATACGAATTGTTCTGTTTGTTTTTATACTTAAGGCTCGTAGATTTGGTAGAAAAGTGAAGCGACTTGTGATGATAATTTAATCATCAATAATTTTGGGGCGATCAATTTGATGCTGCCGCGCCTTCTTAAGTTACACAGTATATAAAATTTTATGGGCGAACACAAGGTTGAGAAAGCTGCAGAGATTCTTCTGTGCATGACAGCGAAGGGAATGCTGAATGGTAGATGCGTCAGGTGTGGAACTGTACTATTATTTCGATGTACTACTCTTCGGCGTACATTGGCGTCTGGATGATATTTTGGTATAAATATTTATGCTACATGTATACAGTGCGTTAACGCTGGCTACGGTTCAGACATGTGTTCTGCTACCTTCAACTGGAAAAGCCCAAAATATATACAAGCTCGAGCTCACAACAAGCAAGGCTAAATATCAAAACTTGATTAACTTATCACCTTGCTTACTTTTTATTATTATTTCTAGTACTATTGGGAAAAATCATGCCAAGGCAAAAACAACAGGTACCAATCAAGGGCGCCAAAAAGTATAAAAGGAATTTTTGCATAATCGTTTCATCAGGTCTGGGGGTTTTCACCTGAGTGACAACAGAGAATTCGAAAGGGGGCACAGAGTATGACAATGGAGGGTGCAGGGGTGATAATGAATGAATAACAATAGGACGCTATGCAGATTTGCTAACGCGCGAAAATTGAGCAGTCTCAAGGACGCCGCATCAGTAACAAAGTTCTAACAACTAGAGTTGTTTTTTTATTTATTTATTTATTAGAATTTTCCAGACAACTGGATGGGAGGACAAAACAGGTGAATATACACCTTTGCTAGTTGTCCTCCCAAACATTACAATAATACATTACAATAATACACGTAATACAATATCGAACAATCAATAATACAATATATACATTGGAACAATATTGAAAACCATACTAATACTAGTGGCGTCTTAAAGCCGTACAGGAGGCGCACCCACATGCGGACGACCAAGAGCACGGAGCGTCAGGAATGAAGTGCTCATTGAATCTGGTAAATGACACTTTAACAAGTTGACGCTTGAAAGCTGAAATGTTGGACAGCTGATTGGCTAGGACTCCCAGATTACGAAGATCAGGGCCCAGATTATTCCAGACTGTGACAAGTCGTGGGAAATAGGAATAGCTGAAGGCAGATGTTTTCGCTCTGAATGGGGTGAGCATGTGTGATCTGGAGTATCGAGAAGGTCGGGACGGAAAAGAGACATACTTTAGGGCGATTGACCTTGATTTGACAAACATCATAACATCGCTAAACTCACGCCTGAATGACAGGGGCAACAGACCCAAGGCTACCAGTCTGTCCTTGTAGGTTTGGTTGTTAGCTTGGGCTCCTAAGATGAATTTAGTAGCGCGCCATTGAACGCCTTCTACAAGAGAAACAGAAAGAAAGCTAAACTTACAGTAAGCGGGGGATTTGAGCAGTCCAAGAAAGAAGTAGCTATGCTAAATTTGGAGATTGTACGCCGTTGAAAAAGTTACGCATGGCTACGGCGGAATAAGGTGAGGAGTCGGCAAGTTCAAATGACAAAATTACTAATGCATACGATCACACATTTCTGTGTCACTTCCATGGTATCATCACGTGACTTGACAATAATGTATTTTACTAGCCTCCTTCGCAGACTTGTTGGGCGGCGGCATTATTTTTTTCGGTAAGCGACGCGAATTATGCCACGGAGGGACGATTTTGCCGCCGATGGAGTTTTGCCATGTTTATTTGCATTTACAACTTTGTTATCGTTGTGGATTTCGGATAGAAAGGTCTGATATCTTTTTAACGCTGATGAATTGATGAAATAATATGGGATCGGGATGATTGATTTGGTGCTTTGCCAGACGAAAGTATAACCAGTCCACATAATTTGCCAATGCCAACAATGATGCAATTAGTAGTTGGTGTACTGTAACCAAGGAGCTTTTTTAACCTCCTTGCTGTAACTATAAACGTGGCTTAAATCATTGTTCGTGTTCTCTCTACAGAATTTGCACCAGTTATACGACGACAAACAACATGCAGAGTTTGAGTCGCATCGGGAGCAAGGTAGAGAGGGGTTCTGTTGTGCCATCTAGCAGAGGAGAGAAACCCTACAGGTGTGAGGAGTGCGGCAGGCAGTTCAGTCAGCTGGGTAGTCTGACGAGGCACATGCGGTCTCACACTGGGGAGAAACCCTACAGGTGTGAGGAGTGTGGCAGGCAGTTCAGTCAGCTGGGTAATCTAAAGACACATATGCGGACTCATACAGGAGAGAAACCGTACAGATGTGAGGAGTGCAGTAGACAGTTCAGTGAACTGGGTAGTCTGAAGAAACACATGCGAACCCATACGGGGGAGAAACCCTACATGTGTGAGGAGTGCAGCAGGCAATTCAGTCAGCTGTCTAGCCTGAATATGCACATGCGGACTCACAGACCAGAGAAAGCCTATAAGTGTGACAAGTGTGGCAAGCAGTTCAGTCAGCTGTATAGTTTAACAAGGCACATGCGGGCTCACACAGGGGAGAAGCCCTACAGGTGTGAGGAGTGCGGCAGGCAATTCAGTCAGCTGGGTAGTCTGAAGAAACACGTGCGGACTCACACAGGGGAGAAACCCTACACCTGTGAGGAGTGCAGCAGGCAGTTCAGTCAGCTGAGTCATCTTAAGTCTCACATGCGGACTCATACAGGAGAGAAACCCTACACATGTGAGGAGTGCAGCAGGCAGTTCGGTCAGCAGTGTGACCTGAAGAGACACATGCGAACTCACACAGGAGAAGAATCCTACAGATGTGAGGAGTGTGGCAGGCAGTTCAGTAGACTGGAAGGTCTAAAGAATCACATGCGCACTCACACTGGGGAGAAACCCTACAGGTGTGAGGAGTGTGGCAGGCAGTTCAGTCTGCTGGGTAGTCTGAGGAAACACATGCGGACTCACACAGGGGAGAAACCCTACAGGTGTGAGGAGTGCAGCAAGCAGTTTAGTCAGCTGGGTCATCTAAAGACTCACATGCACACTCACACTGGGGAACAAACCCTGCAGATGAGGAGTGCAGCAACCAGTTCAGTGAGCTGAGTCACCTGAAGAAGCACATACGGACTCACACTGGAGAAAAGCCCTATGGATGTGGGGAGTGCAGCAGGCAGTTCAGTCAGCTGGGGATTCTGAAGAAAAAAAAAACATTTACAGACTCACATACGGGAGAAAACCTAGGATGTGAGGAGTTAGCGGTTAGTGCAGCAGCTAGGCAATTCAGTATTCTGGAGAATCTAAAGACCCACATTTGAAGTCACACGTTAGGGAAATACTAGGAGCAAGTTTGAAGACTGTAGTAGGCAGTTCAGTCAACTAAAGAATCACTTGCACAGGCCGTTGTTAAGTCTTAGAGGCACGTCACAGTCTCACAAGTTAGAAAGCCGGGGCGTCTGGAAGTACAGAAGAGATGCTGGTCTGGCATGCACTGCATCTGTAGATAGGAGTACTTGTTCTCAGTTGTTGAAGATTGCTAGATGTATTTCTGGTATTACTGCTATCTTATTTGCTAGTTGATCTACTATACCTTTAACGTTTTCCAGTTCCCAAGTTTAGAATGTTTTGTAACAGAGTAGGTTTTGTTTCTTCTTTAACTTTTCATGCTATTATGTAACTTTAACTAGTTTATTTAGTCCTATCTAGACAACTATAACTAGGCTTGTAGTGTTGGTATAGCCGTGCTAGAATGTTATTTCCAAATTCCAAACATACATGCACAATATTATAACCCATCGTTAGTCAAACTCTGACTTCAAAATTCACATCTGTAGTTGGACGTAGACTCTAAGTTAGAGGTGTTGGTGGTGGTTATATTATTGTTACATTTGATTATAAGTTATTTTCTTCAATAAAGTTTGTTTGTTGTTCATTAGTTTGAGAGCTCATTTGAAGAAGCGGATATGTTTGTGCATGGTAAGAGCCATTATAGTAGTTTTTTTACGTTAATATGTACACCTACCAACCTGGCTGCCAACAAAATGCTTGAAAACTGATTATAGAATTTTGCACAGGAAGTTCGAACCTTTCAATTGGGAAGTTGAAAAATGAAGTTTTTATAAACGTTTGGGAGAAAACCAGTCCCAAACAAGTGGAGTGAGCGATCTCTAGCAGTTCATGCAGTACTGCATCATAATGTTGTCTGAGCCACGGTTATACTGCCATTACTGCAGTGATTATTATATGGCCGCCTGGTGGCGCTTTTGATCCATGGCGATTTTAAGAACAGGTACTACCAGTGATTCAAACTTCAAGCGAGGCCGACCCGCATAACTGTTAATCTTGCCAGGATAGGTTTTTGTAGAAAAACAGACATAGACAAGTACTGCAGAATACACTTGCCAATATTTCAGTCCCACAAAGCTTCTCTCTGTTCAAGTTGCCATCTGTGTCACCTTTGCACCCCTATTTGATAATCGCAGTTGGTACTTCCCGCTCATTCTGTTGCTGATGTCGCGTGTTGACGTGCGTGGAGGTTTCCGATGTTTTTTGCAGCCTTTCGAGAGAATTTCACGCCCCTTCTTCTCGAGTTTCTTTCTTCAATGAATTTTTGCCATTCTCTGGATATTTGACTCTTTTGAGGAGACAAATGCGTGCTTCCTGACCAGATGGATTTTGGACGAGAGAACAAAGTGGCGAGACTGCAAGTCGGATGTGTGAAGACGTTCACAACTTCACATACTACATCATTAGGTAAGACGTCAAATTATCACTCCCCAACAACTTATTACATGGCAAATTTGAGTCCGTCTATTTTGGCGTAACTCTTCAAATTCTGAGTTGAAATTTCAAGTTGAGAGCATCCTATGCGTTCAAAGTGTGC